ATTATTCCCTGGAACAGGCCTGAGTCAGGGAGCAGTGATCATGGGAATAGAAGAGATACTCTTGCTGGGACTTCAGGCATTGAATATAGATTTAGAGACTGAAAAATATTATGAGAAAGAGGAAACATGATATAACGATTCCTAGGTTTATGCCATGAACAAAAATGAAGAATAAGTGTTTTGTTTCATGAAGTATCAAAACATAAATACTCAGGGCAATAGAAGCATATTAACTTTCTGTGTAAAATATTATGTGTCATTTAGAATCTACAAATCTGAAGGGGGGAAATTTTGGGAATACATGACTTGACTTACCATGGATAGCACTGACTTGGAATATAAAAAAGCTTTTCACAAACATGTGGACCAGCACATTTTTGCCATAGTAGTTTTCAAAAATGAAATTTAAGGACTAGGAAGTCGGCTCACCGGGTAGAGTGTTTGCTCTGCAATCATGATGACCTGAGTATTCATGCCCAGCACCCATGTAAACAGTCAAGCAGAGGAAACTGCTTCTGCAATAACAGTTCTGCTGAGGCAGAGACATGAAGATCTGCAAGGCCTGCTCGCCAACCAGTGTAGCTGAGTTGGCATCCTCCAGGTTCACTGGGAGACCCTGTCTTAAAAGCAGGATGGAGTGCCATTAAAGAAGATACCTGATATTGACCTTTGCTCAGTACAGGTACAAGCACCAGTGAGTGCACCCACATACACAGTGCACATACAAGTATGCCATGTATGTTCTTAGCAAGGGGCTCTTAAGAGTCATCAATGTACTAACTTCCATCCATTTGAATTAGATGCTGCATAACAAAGGACAGATTTTTTTTTTTTGATGGAAGAGTTTTATTTGGCTTATGGTTCCAAAGGGAAGAGCTCATAATGGCAGAGCATAGATTTTTAACCTAATTCAGTTCAAATGTTCATTTTTGAGCAATGCATTATGACATGTATATATAATATGAGACACTCAGTTTACATAGTTTAGAAAGAAAAATATAAGGAACAAAGGATCGTCATCAATCTGGGCTCCTCATCGAAGGAGTTGCTGTGCTTGTTTCATTCAAAGTGTGAACAGCATGATCAGCTTGCTACAAGTCTCTGCAGTGAATGAATATTTGAGTACACGCATATGTGTGTATACATGTGTATATGCACACGTAAATGTAATATGCTGACTCAAATATTCCTAAACAGTTCACACACATCAACTGCTTTTGTTTCATTTTTAAGTTCTGAATCTTGTCTCTTGATGTTTATCCGTGCATTGCTAAATGTAATATTTTCCTTCTGTTGGAAGTTTTCTCCCTGAGCATAGCACTGATGGGACATGGGCTATCATGACAAGCTGCTGAGTCTGGCATATGGCATGCTCACAGTCTTGGAGGGTACATGGGTTTTATCAGGGCATCCTTGGATACCAAGCACATCTGTGAGTTACAAGAAGCTTGGGGCATGCAGTAGGAAGTTCGGCAAATGATACACAAATCTGATATTCCTTATGATCCTCCTAAAGCATTGGAGTTACGAGATCCTTCAACCTCATAAACAAAGTAAAATAAGCTCTTGGTAAATATCTTAATTTCTTTTTCCCAATTTTTCTTAGTCATAGTGGGACAGAAGACTTTGGCCTTTCAGAAACTATGATTTTCTTTCATTCTCCTCTACTTTGCTTCTCTTTGCTCTCTATCGTTGATGTACAATGCTATTTTTCCATCATGTGAGCAAGATAAAATCCAAAGTAATTTATTTGGTATTATAAAGAAGGTTTCCTCTGGCAGCAGTTTTAACTGTCAGTGCGAAGGACAAGTAGGAAGCCGCCTTGCTGTGTTCTGTCAATGTCTCATTAGTTTATCTTGCTTAGAATCTGCTGCATCACCAAGAGATTTTCAAAATACATCCATGCATACACAAAGATAATGGCCATTCATCACCCCCAGCCAGCATACTTTTACTAAGCTCTGTTTTCAAGGTTAATCTGATGATGAATGAAAAAAAAAAAACAAAACAAAAAAAAAAACCTCAAAAGCACCGGTATCTTTTAAAGCAATCAAAATTCAGAGAGGTTAAGTCTGGGTGAGATAACAAAGGGTATCATCTAAAGGGCTTGTTTGTTTAGGATACTGACCTCTTAAGCATCCCTGACACCTTCATGAGAGCAGATTCTTCTGATTCTGCATGTCAAAAGCTCATTAATGATATAGCATGAAGAAGATAAATTACAAAGTCAAAAAGGTGATCAATGTAAGGCTGCAGCAAACTAAGTGAGAGCCCTCTGATTTATTGTTTTCAATGCTGGTTCTCTGTAAATGCACTATGTCACAAAGTGGAAACTGCTTCCTGCCTGCCTGGGAAGGGCTAGTCCTCCAAGGCCACAGGGCTCTGCTTGAAATAATAAGACAGCGAGAAACACAGCCTAATGCTCAAATGTTTAAAAACTTTCTGGGCATATTGTGTTCTATAGAGCCATCATAATGATAGATTTCTTTTCCCTTTTCCTAGAAGTGAGACAGAAAGTTAAGATTCTGACGTAATTAGGAGATGTTGTTGTGTAGGTTAAGAAAAACAAAAGCTCTTTCAAAAAGTAAAGATGATTTTTGTTGGCCAGTGTGATGGTTCAGTGGCTTGTCACCAAGCCTGATGACCTGAGTTCGATCCAAGAAATACACATGGTGGATGGAGACAGCTGACCCCGACAAGTTGTTCTCTGACCTCCATATGTGCACCATTGCATGTGACCCCCCAGCAATTAAATAAACAAATGGCTGAATAAATAAATGTAATAATGTAGATGGGTTTGTGGGTTTTTGTGTTTTTTTTTTCTTAAGAACTTGTAGCCTCAGCTGGCCAGGAACTTATAATGTAGACCAGGTTGGCCTCAGTTTCACAGAGATCTGCCTGTCTCTGCCTCTCAGGTGCTGGATAAAATTAAAAGCGTGTGCCAACATACTTGGCAATAATTTATTAAAAGGAGTTTTGGGGATACTAGTAGTTTGAACTTATATATAGCAATAAAAGCTCTATTTGGTATTTGCTACCATTAGTGATAACAAAACCCACTATGCTTACTCCTTATTTAAAATCTTAAGTGATAACTGGTGCTTTGATGTACTAATACTGACCAAAATCTTGGTATAAAATTGAATCATAAAAATTGAATGCTTTCTCTATATCAAGGATACAGTAGGCAAAGAGCACAGGCAAAGGGGAAAGGACAGGTTGTCCTCCCGAGGACCTTTCTTCCCTCAGTGGAATTGCACATTCTATCTCCACGGACTTCTGGCATCTACCCCTGGCCTCTGGACACATGTGCAAACACACACACATACACTACTCATCTAGGTATGCAACACAATGACTCTTGAAAACACAATAAACTTTTGTTGACAAAAGGCAAGACCATACCTACATCTTGTGTAATTAGAAAGCCTCCAAAATTAAAGTATGGACCAACAGTGAAGGTAAAGATGACAGGGATGCTATTCTAATAATAGCAATAGCAATATTCTGAGATTGTTGGTTTATTTTCCATTTAAGAGATAGAGAAATTGAGGCATAAAGAAAGTAAGAAAATTGGCCTATGTTTGCATAGGTATTTGATTTTCATGCCATTGGTGGAGTCCTGTCTATGTTCCTCACTGCTAACTCAAGTAGGAAAAGAACACAGACATATCAAATTCAAAAGGTTCTTCCTAAAAAGCTAGATAGAGAGCACAGCTGAACGAGAGGAAACAGTGTTGAAAGATTCATGAATTATACTGCTGTAAAAATGAAATAGAGTAACTACTGAAATTCATAATAAGGATAGGAAGCATAAATCAATAATGTCTTCCTGAATGCCTGTTTACGAAGTCAGCGTCCTGTGAGGGGTTGGAAGGCAGAGAAGAATTGTGAGCGAAAGCCAAAAGCATAAAACCAGCCAGCAAAGACTAGAAAGGGAGTCTCAAGTTATGACCACAGGTATGTGTGTAAGTGGCAGCATCACAGAGTGAGGACTGAAACAATTAACAAACTGATAGGATTTGTTGTCCGAAAAAAAGTCATTAACGGGCCAGAAATCTATGTAGAGAGCATGCATTGACACTGAAGTCACTGAGGACGTGATACTGATTTTAACTCCTAAGTAAAACGAAGGCTGAAAGACTGAAGTGAGAAGAGAGCAGGAGTAAGAGGGGGAAGGGCAACCTACATTGCCATCTGTTGGGGAAAGGAGCGCCTACCTTGCTGAAAGAAATGAAATTTGGGAATTCCCCATCTCCACAGCCAGCGGTAACAGTGGAGAGCAGAGAGCATTTTCAAGCCTAGTTTAGCTTCGTATAATACAAACATAACGTTCACCATCTTTATTAAATGTATTTTCTTGATTGTTAATAAAAATAAAAAAGCATCTTTATGTTATGGGATACCATGTGATACTACGAGATTGATTTGTTAATACAAACACCTTATTTAATATACAAATCAGGCTAACATCATTTCTATATGGTGAAATCATTCAGAAACATTTCTTCAAACTTTTGGAATTGCATAGTACGTTATTGTTATAATTTGGAAAATATGTTATAGGAGGAAAATTAATTCCAATATTTCATTAAACCCATACATTTAAGGTATAATTTTGGATCAACTTTGAGTGAACTTGTCTGCAGAATGACTTACCATGTCCAGGAGCCTCCTGTATTCTTACTAATGAGCCCACGCAAGTTGCAAAACTGTGGCTAAACCTCCACCGTGACTCTGGTCTCAGCTCTAACCTGAGCCTTTTTAACTCTTTGGGCCTAAATTTATTTGTATGAAAAGTAAATACGATTGCCTTAAATGGCTTCCAAGCAAGAGCACCCTTGTTTCTACATCAACTAAGATTAACCTGTTAATAAGCATACTCTTGGAATATTGATCTTATAAATTGAAGTCTAGTACTTACCACTTGATTTTATCTTTTTTTAATTACATTTTTAGTTCTTCTAAACTTTTACATAAGTATCTATTCCATTATGTAGGGTGGAGTTAATGGCTTGACTGGAGAGCTAGAATTTGGAGAAAACGGAGGTAACCCCAACGTCCACTTTGAAATCCTTGGAACCAACTATGGAGAAGAGCTTGGCAGAGGCGTTCGTAAAGTAAGCCTAGACTCATTAACAAATTCGGTTTTTCTCCTGTACTATTTGTTGTTTTGGCATATAATTCCCTGTGGTGTGATCATGGTGCACATTAACATTCCCGTGGTACAAAGAGAAAGTGAGGCAGCATGAAGGGGGAGGGCACAAAAGAGAGAGAACAAGGCAGTGCAAATATCTTAGATGCTTAGAAGTAGTGCACAATAAATTCCATTTATGCCTTGGAAAAATTTAAAAGAAGAAAGTAACTTGATGCCGGCCTGGAGAAGTGGCATTGCTTTTCATTCACTATAATAATACTTTTTATAAAGTAGCAAATCTAATATTTATATAAAATTTGTAACATGCACAAAATTAGAATAAGTGCTTGGATAGATTTCATATACTAGGAGAGAAAGTCTGCTATAGAAAGTGGCATTATAGTAGTTCCCTGTCTGTGTGTGTCTTGAAATAAGTAGAAAATACTTTGCAGGAAATGAGCTCTTGTTATATTCTGCAGATCACATAGAAGAGGCAGCGAAGAGCCAAAAAAGCATGTTTCATGAAACACTGGGACTATAACTTTCTCAAGGAGAAATATAAAAGCCCTTGCATAAATGAGTTCTCCATAGCTTGCTGCTGCCATTTTTATATATTTTTGGTAAGGAGACTCTGAAGGCAATTGAGTTTGCATACAGAGCTAATAACTATGTCCTTCTCAGTATCTGAAGCCGACTGCACTGAGAGTAATTGGGTCTTCTGGAAATGGGCCTTTTCAATGTTGACATTTGCCATACAGAAAACGAAGTTAGACATTGTTACCAGAAATAAGAATTTCTCAGTAAATTTATGCTGACTTAAAACCAGATTACTGCATTTAAATTTTTGTTTTCTACTGAATAATTTCAAACATAGAGAAAATTGCATAAAACACAAGATGCTTTACTGAAATTTTTAAAGGGAAACAGCCTCTACTGTGGTCCACAAAAAGAACACAGCAGTTGCCATAAAAAGCACCCTGTGTGCTTCCCCTGACTGCATGCTTTGAAGACCCTCTCACCTGGGTAACCATTAGTCTCCATTTTACTGTGATTACCTGGCTATCTTAATAATTTTATCACGTGTTTGCATACTACTGTAACTGAGTTCACCAATATTTAATCTTATAGCCAATCTCACCTGCATCATTTTCTCTTGCTTCTTGTGTTCAACGTTATGTGTCCTATTCATCACTGCTGTTACTTGTAGTTGAAATTTATTGACGTATATTGCTGTATCATTATAACTATGTCACAACTTAGTATATTTTGTTTCCTCTTTTAGATTATATAACAAAGGCTATTACAATATTCTTGCATGTAATTCTTAGCTATATATTCTTGTACTTGTGCAGGTATTTTTGTGCCAAAGAACAAAACTGCAATACAATAGTACATATCTTAGACATTCCTGGGTAACATCACACCCTATGTTATTAAAGTTTATGGATTTTTGCTTACCATCAACAGTCTACGTAAGCTCTCACTCCCTCTCAATCAACCAAATCTTTGTCAGACTTCAACCTTTTCTAATATATATTGAAATATAGCCTCATGGTTTCAATTCAAAGTCCCTGAATTTTAAAAAGATCTATCTTTTATATTTTTAAGATTTATTTATTTTTATCTTATGCATATGAGTGTTTTGCCTGCAAGTATGTAAGCACATTGCATGTATGCAATGCCCACAGAGGCCAGAAGAAGGTGTTAGATTCCCTAGAACTGGTGTTACAGATGGTAGTAAGCTCCCACATGTGTGCTGAGAACCAAACCCAAGGCCTCTGTAAGAGTAGCCAGATGCGTCTTAACTGCTGACCAGTCTCTTCAGCCCCTGCCTCATATTTTTAAGACCTCAGATTTCTCTTTGGCTTCATTACTCACTCAAGTTTGGGGGGGAAATTTTGTTGCTGTTGTTTGTTTAGCATTTTGGTGAGGTAAGGATGTCTTCTGTCTATTAGAATGAATTCTTAGCAATACAGGTATATGACTTAATTATTAGTCCTTTGCCACTTAGCTCCAGGTATTACTTTCTTCTCTATGAACTTCCTTTTCGTAGCAATTTTTTATATATTTAAACAATGTTTTATGAATTTTCTACCTATGATTGTCGGTGTTCGTTTATATTCAAAGAATTATTCCATATTCTCAGAGTCATAAGAATGTTATATTTATAGTTATCTTCCAAATGTTTTATAATTCTTCCTTTTACATTCAGGTTTTTTGAATGCCTAGTAACTTGTTTTAATATGTGGAATAAGAAAAGAGTAAGGTTTAATTTTTCAGTATGGATTGTGTTTTGGTTTTTGTGGGGCTTTTTTGTGAGATACAACTTAAATATAAAACTACAAATCGTAAGTATATTATGGTTTTCAATATTTGTATTCACCAGTGTGATCACCACCTACATCAAAATATAGACCCTTTCTGTCACCCAGTCAGTGCCCTGGTTCCATTCTTAATGACAGAGACCTCTTGCTTGGCCTGAAAGTTCACATACACATAAATGGACCATGTACTAAAGTCATTTGTGTCTTCTTTCCTCAACATAGCTTATGATGAGGCAATAGCTTCATTTAACAGCATTTTGGGTGTTCATTTTGGAAAGTTTAATTTATATTCTGTGAGAATAAAAAGGCATTTGAAAATTTCTTTTTTTCTTTAGTTCCTATACTAAAATATAATTAATATTGTCCAATTTTTGGGGCCCAGCTTTCTTATCCAGCTTTTAATTAAATTAAGTTTTCTAGAGATGCTGTGTACTTACTGCAGGTTGTCCTGTCATCTATAATCCATGAGTGTTTTATTTTTATTTCACCTTTGGAGTTTTGCACCTCTTAACTTTTTATTGATTTTTTCAAATTTCATACAATACATCTTGATATATTAAACCCATGCCCTGTCTGTACCTCACCATAGCCCCATCACCATATTTCATTCATTCTCTCGTATATGTTAAGGCCTAATGAGCTGAGATTGTGTCCCCAAATGTCCCTTGATGTGAGTCCATGCACTAGAGCCTGGTCAGCCTATCTAGCATCTCCCCCTCAAAAAAAATCAACCCTCCCTCTCCCAGTAGCCCTGGGTTGCCAATAGTTCTTCAGCTAAAGTTGGGGCTTTTTACCCATTTCCCCAGTTCAATGCTAGGTTTTTGTCTGGTTTGAGCTTGTATGGGTCTCGTGCATGCTGTCACCATTGCTGTAAGTTTAAATGAGCAACTCCCTAGCCACTAGGAAGAAAACAGTTTTCCAGTTATCTGGGAAGTTGCTCATGGAATCTACCTCCTGATTTTTCTTCTGTAAGTCTATTGAGTAGGACCTCTAGAACAAAGTTGAAAGGAAATAATAACGGTGGCATCCTTGGGTTCTTGTTTACAGTGCTAAAGAAGCATTTTTATTTAGCTTTGTTCAGGTTAATGAAGCTCCATTCATTACTAAAATATATGCAATTGTAAATGAAATGTAGGTTCATATTTTTTTAAATGTATATTTATACTTACTGAAATTTCAGTCACATTTGATTTGTTATCATCTTGCCTATATCTGTTACATTGATGATTATGATTCAGGTTTCCTGAAATGGCCCTTTCGTTGGATTTCTGTCCTGTTAAACTGACCTAACCTAGATGAGTTAGTAATGTGAGCCCTCCAGAGCTATGTCTAAGGTAGCAACAAATGTTAATGAGAGGCCAGAGGTGAGAAAAAGTGCAACAGAGTGGCAATGCCAGCTATTTAAATAACAAGAGTAGAAAATAACAAGGAAGGTGAAAAGTTTCACATGTCTACATAGAAATTAAGTGACTCTGTTAGAAAAGGTAGAACATTTAGAATACACAGGAATTGGGCATGATTGAGCAGTCTGGGATCAAGGCAAGTAAGAGAAAAAATTGAAGATTAAGTAGAAAGTGTTGACTAACGATTAAGTTCAAATGGAAAAAAAAATAGAGAGATTTGGATGCAGCGTTTGTTGGTGTTCCTGTCCTTCAGCAAGATGGACAATGTTTTCCCAAATAATGAAAGAGAAGATGTAAGTAAAGCGTGGAGGGTTTGGAAGTAAGTCTTCATGCAATGTGCATTAACTGGTGTCATGAAATTAAGATAACGCTTATAATAAAACACATTATCTTTTCCTGGAGAAATGGGAGGTGAGGTTATCTGCTAAAAAAGAAAAGACATTGAAGCATCCAAAGCCTCTGGAGATAATGAGGATAGAAGCTTAACGTGGCAAACAGGAGAACTATGATTGGGGAACCAGGAAGGGTTGCCAGGCAGGGCTATGGTCACATACGAAGTTAAAGATAAATAACTCACAACAGCAGTAATTTGGGTGGCATATGTTTGTCAGTAGCAGACTGGATGAATTACATTAATGTAGGCTGAGTTTTTATCAGGTTGTTGTCCTTTTGTTTTAGTTTTGATAGCAGTGATGTGAAGCAAGTGAGGCTAAGACACTGGCAATGTTACCGAGTTCTGGACCTCGGGGAAAGATTACCGAGACTCAAAAAGTTCCAAATCAGTCAAATTAAGCTTTTACAATTTCATTAGAATTTTAAAGAAAAAGAAATCCTCAGGGCAGGCGAGACAGTAATATTGGCAGCTGCCTTGAAGAGGTGAGTGGTGGGAAGAAAGCAAGCAAGCCATGAAGTCTTATAGGTTTAGAGCCTGTGTGAGAGGTCAGACACGTGGCTGACTGGCAGCCCCATGGCTGGGAGAAGGAAGCTTTAGAGAAAGTAAAGAAACACAAGATGCTAGGGGCAGCCCAAAGCCTTAAAGAAAGCATGTTTAGTAAGAAAGGAGAGCCACAAAGAAAAGGAGAAATTCCGCTTCCCTGAAGAGCTCAAGGACGCGGACAAACTCATGGGCTACATGGCTGTAGCTAGTCTGAAAGTTCTGCCCTATTAGGTGGGATTCCAGGCAGGAAAAACTCGCTATCTCATTAATTCACTAAGTATTCCACCCATCTAGTTAGCATGACCTACCTTCCTAGGAG